CGACAAATTCTTACACGTAGTTCCGCAGTGTTTAAATTGCATGCTGATAGACGTAGACGGCCTGCTCCTATTTTTTCTCCGGGTGATAGGGTCTGGTTGAGTACCAGACACATTCGCCTGAAAGTCCCCTCTTTGAAGTTTGCTCCTCGTTACATAGGCCCTTACAGGGTGCTGAGGAGGATCAACCCGGTTTCTTATTTGCTGGATCTGCCCCCTACTCTACGCATCCCTAACTCTTTTCATGTGTCTTTATTGAAACCTCTTGTTTGTAACAAATTTTCCTCCCACTCTGCTCCTCCACCCCCGGTCCGTGTGGATGGTCAGGAAGAATATATCATTAGGTCCATCCTTGATTCTCGTATTTCTAGGGGGAAGTTGCAATATCTCGTAGACTGGAAAGGTTATGGTCCAGAAGAGAGGTCTTGGGTTCCTTGTGTAGACGTGCATGCTCCTCGCCTTCTTCGGGCCTTCCACGTTCGTTTTCCTTCTAAGCCCGGTCCCATCCGCCCGGTGGGCGTTTCTAGAAGGGGGGGTACTGTCAGGGTACCTGTTGGTGCTGACTCCAGGGAAGACATCCTCTCTGTTTAGGGGCTCCTTGCCCCTAGCATTTCGGCAAATTCCGGCCGTTTTCGCGCCGGCCGCGCTAGCTCCTCCCCCTTTTATGACGCGACGGCTAGCGTCGACGTCATGACGTCAGCATTACGTGAAGTGCCGGGAACCGCTATTCCGGACCTTTTGGGGGCGTGGTCTCAATTAAGGTGACAGGGTATTTAAAGGAAACCTTTACTACTGCTCATTGCCCTGTCGTGGTTCTAGCTTGCTAGTCACTCAGCGCGTTCTCTCTCCTAGTGTTTCCGGTTTTGACCTTGCTTGTCTTTTGTCCTGTTGTCCTCTCCTCTCCTTTGACTCGGCTTGTATCTCGCTTACCTGTCCTCCGGCTCCCTCGACCTCGGCTTACCTTTTGACTATTCTTGTTTTGTCCATACGTTAGTCCGGCCATTCTAAGGTCCGGTATACGTACCTCCTTCTGTCCGCACTCTGCGTATTGGATCCCTGTCAGTATCCTGACAGGTGGGCAACAAACAGGTGTAATTGGATTCCATATCATACATCTTCTTTAGAGCCCATAGTTCAGTAGTTTAATCAAGATACTTTTCACAATGTCCTCAAAAGATTCCATTAACGAGTCCGTGTTGTTATTATTATTATTATTATTATTATTATGTTATTTATATAGTGCTATCAAATTCCACAGCGCTTTACAATGGGTAGATGAACAGACATGTAGTTGTAACCAGACAAGTTGGACACACAGGAACAGGGGTTGAGGGCCCTGCTCAATGAGTTTACATGCTAGAGGGAGTGGGGTAAAATGACACAAAAAGGTAAGGATAGTATTAGACTAGTGACAGTTGCAGAAAAGGAATCAGTCAGGAGCTATTAACAGTTTAATTTATACGCTTTTATGAAGAAGTGGGTTTTTAACGATTTTTTTGAAGGAGTGGGACTGGGTGAGCATCTAACGGAGGAGGGAAGTGAATTCCACAGGCCCTCGAAAAGTCTTGAAGACGAGCATCAGAGGTGGGAGTACGGACAGAAGATAGACGTAAGTCTTCAGCAGATCGTAAGGGCCTAGACGGGACATACTTGTGTATAAGGGAGGATAGATAGGTGGGAGCAGCATTATGTAGCGATTTGAAAGCAAGAACCAAAATTTTAAATTAAGCTCTATATTTTATAGGAAGCCAATGTATGGACTGACAGAAGGGTGAGGCATGGGAGGTGCGGGCGGACAGGAAGATGAGCCTCGCTGCCGCATTCATTATGGACTGTAATGGCGTAAGTTGGGAGCACGTAAGACTGAGAAGCAGATTACAGTAGTCAAGGCGAGAAAGGACAGTGGAATGGACCAACACCTTAGTTGCATCTGACGTTAAGTAGGGGCGGATGCGTGCAATGTTTTTGAGATTGAAATGACAGAATTTGGCGATAGATTGAACATGAGGCTTGAAGGAGAGGTCGGAGTCAAAGAGAACACCCAGGCAGCGAGCCTGCGTGGTGGAGCTGATGGTAGCACCGTGGCCTGGAGGGAGACAGACACAGGAGTTAAAACACTTGAGGGAGGAAAGACCAGAATTTCAGTTTTGGTCAAGTTTAGTTTAAGGAAGTGGGCAGCCATCCAGTTAGAAACAGCAGAGAGGCAGTCATGTCACTGTCATCTTTGGATTGGAGGTAACCATAGGGAGATACAAGGACATGCTGTGGATATTTATGAAGGTAAAAGAGGTGCTATTCTGGGTGCAAAGTTCAAAATGGTAGGAGACATTCTCCTGTTTTCCATGGTGATTGGTCAATATTTAGCTCTTTGACCCAGAATAGCACCACTCTACTATTATATTATTTCATATGAATGTTGCCACCATAGACATTTTTGGGATCCAATGGCCCCTGCGTGTGCAAGTTGAGAGGTTTATTTGTGTGCTATCTCACTGTGTGTCTGAGCATTGTTGGCATGCGTGACTACGTTGAGTGTATTTGTGGTCAATCTCTGTATTTGAAATGTGTTTGTGTGTGAATAAATGGATTTTTTGTGTGAAATGTCTGTGTTTTAGTGAAGTGTGTGTATTTGTATTAAGTGGGGTAATTGTGTGGAGTGTCAGTGTGTATGAGTGCAGTGGTGTATTTATGTGGAGTATTGTGTGTGCACGCATGAATGAATGGGTTCATTGTTAACATCAGTATCTTGTCTTTCGGTAATGAAAAAACATGTAACCTGTAATGGAAAACTGCTAATGTGACATATAAATTATTTAATATTAGATCACATGCTAAATAAAACATTGTAAGATCTATAAACGCATGTTACAACTTGAAAAACTAATGTTCGCCTCCCTTTCAGGTCATAGACCAGTCTCCTGATCTAGAGTATAAGTACAATTAAAGACCTTCACATTGGTGGTGTCAGCTGGTCTCCTGACATTCATTATAAAGCATGCTTGTAAGTATTTCTAAGCTGCAAACATTTCACCTACCGCTGGCATACTGTTGAGAGCCTGAGTATTCTATCTTGCCATTTAAGGGCAACATTATCCACAGCAAACGTTAAATTGTATGCTTTAGACCAGGTGTATAAAATTACAGCCCTGCTGGCATCAATTGATTACATTTTTCATAATCCTTTGACAGGCATTGGCAGAAAATTATAATGACTATAATTCAATGACAGGTGAAGATGTCAGATTGAACACCACTGATTTGCACGGTACGACAATTTGTTCAGAGTCTGGTTACTTATATTACTGTTTGTATGAAAATGTTTTGTCACCCAATCCATGTTTTATTTTCCCAATGTACATCGCTGGAGAATAAGCTACGTATTATATATTAATTATTATATGCATATGGTATGTTTGTTTTTTTTATTCTGCGAAGGCTTAATTTTGACATATTTTATAAATACTGAAAATATATGAAACATAGAATGTGATGGCAGATAAGAACCGTTTGGCCCATTTATTCTGTATATATTAGTTTGCTTCAAAACCATCCATTCAACTGCAAGCTTAAAATATTAACAGTGGGGGGCAGAGCTTAGCAGCCAACCTGAGCGGTCACACATCAGACGAGCTCCATCCTAAATTGCCTAAATTCAGCCCAAACAACTACGGCACGACCCAGCCCTAATTTGCTCCCTTCCTGAGCCACGGACCAATATGGGATCCAGAGCGGGAACTCCTAAAGCACCTGGGGGTCACAGGCGGCTCACAGCGGTACAGGATGCAGAGCTGCTGATCGGGAAAGCATCATCCCTGCTCACCATGAGAACCAGCATATCTTTGCAAGGCCTTGAGGCAATGTGGTGTTCACTGCTGATCGGGGACTGTGTTCTCCCCTCAGCTGGCATCCGATGAGCCGAACTCATAGACTGGGACTTACCAGTCATCTTTTCTCCCCTCACGGCTTCCGATTACACAACTCTGTCTAACCCCATAAGTTCTCTTTATCATAGTGCCTTAAAGGACCACTCTAGGCACCCAGACCACTTCAGCTTAATGAAGTGGTCTGGGTGCCAGGTCCTTCTAGGCTTAACCCATTTTTTCATAATTATAGCAGTTTCAAAGAAACTGCTATAATTATGAATGGGTTAAGCCTTCCCCCTAATCCTCTAGTGGCTGTCTCATTGACAGCCACTAGAGGCGCTTGCGTGCTTCTCACTGTGATTTTCACAGTGAGAGCACGAAAGCGTCCATAGGAAAGCATTGTAAATGCTTTCCTATGCGACGGGCTGAATGCGCGCGCAGCTCTTGCTGCGCGTGCGCATTCAGCCGGCGGGGCGGATCGGAGGCGGAGAGAAGGAGGAGAGCTCTCCGCCCAGCGCTGGAAAAAGGTAAGATTTAACCCCTTTCCCCCTTCCAGAGCCGGGCGGGAGGGGGTCCCTGAGGGTGGGGGCACCCTCAGGGCACTATAGTGCCAGGAAAACGAGTATGTTTTCCTGGCACTATAGTGGTCCTTTAAACGCTGGCCTGCCCCACTCCCCCATATTCCTCCTGGGGGATTCAAGCTACCCAGTAAGGCATTCCTACACCCTCCTTTTTAACTCTTTTGCAGTGGCTACCTCTTACACACAGCTGTACCGTATAAGCATGTCTCATCTCAAATAAGCACTCGCTATGCCTTTGTAGCTAGCTGTATTTAGCAGGGATACAGCCCAACGTATTTCTCCATCTATTACTTAGCCTAGTCTGTCTCCTTGCTATACAGCTCACTAATATTTGTAAACACACAGCCTGTATACTGTATATCCGCTAGATAGACCAGACTAGCCAGGTTCCTACCCTGTCATATCATAAGCCAAGCTAATGTTTCCTTTTCCTTTTTGTTCTACTGAAGCTTAAAAATAATCCTGTTTACTTATCTACTTACAAAATAAATATATATATATATATATATATATATATATATATATATAGTAACAGTAACTATGACGGAACACTGACTGTATTTAAAAAAAATGACTTTATTTGCAATAAAAATATGTACAAGGCAAGTTAAAAACAACACTTATAAAGCATTGATGCACGGTACACACAAGCTGATAGTTACACCTGTGGGACAATGGGAACAACCTCATTAATATCACTCAAAATAAATTACATTTTGATTGTTAGTTTTTTTTTTTCTGCTGACACTTACATTATTCAAGAACAACAATAAAAGTGAGATGATAAATAGAAATGTTATTTACATATCTACTTAAAACTCAGACATTAATACTCCATTTTATATAATTCTTCAAGGAAGAAAACTTGTACTTTGAATGAGAGTTATATAAATACATATATATATATAGCAGTGGAAGCTAATCTGGGCAAGCCAGAAGGTGAACTACATTTCCCATTATTTTTATCCAATCATAATGGCAAAGTTAGCATTATACAGAGTAAAATATAAAGAACAGATCTGCAGTGAAATTCTGATTGGTTTTGAGCAATACATCTTGCTCCACCTTTAACTCTATGCCACAGAGGTGGGACGTTATATATGTGGGTAAGAGTGAAAGTGCAGTATGCCAGCATTCTAAAATAGAACACTGAGGTCTACCAATCAGACATACAGTACCAGAAATTCCATCACCGATTGGCCACTCACAATCAGTCTTATCTTCATCTCGCCTTCTATCCGTATAGGAATTTCTGATACCAGTTGTGTCTCTTACAGAACAATCAAACAAAAAAAACTAATAAACATTCTATAATTTCTAGTACAGATATTATACAGTAGAGCTTACATAAACAAAAACAAACAAAAACAAACCTATAAATTAAAATGCATCAAACCTTTCATTAGGTGACATGTCAATTAAATACATCGATATTGACAATATTAAAAAGCTTAGATTGGAGTAGAGCTTGTATAACTAGTAATTAGATAATGTTCTCTTTCAAATAAAATCAAAATTTATTTAATTAGACATTGATATTACAGATTATTTGGTAGGTTAACAATGCATAACTTGATAACTTGTTAACATTAACATTTAGCTTAAACAATGGAAGAGTTATTAGAATGGATGTTTTGCTTTGTTTCTAAATGAACATAAAGCTTCAAAACTCTATCAAATTTTCAGATTCTGTCATGTGTCAAATATGGAACTATATAGCGTATTCTCTGAATTACAGATTGTGAGAATTGACAAGCGGATTGCATATATTAAGCGAGAATAGTAAAAAAGAAAAACGTCTCCATTCAGCTATTTTCCTAGTAGGACTATGTTGGGCTTAAATCTTCAATTCCCCTGTGAATTTTTAAACATTTCTGGTTTGGTGGATAAAGCCCTCAGTTATGTTTAGGTATAGTGTCTCTTTTCTATTTACAGCGAGTTGTTATTAATGGAACTCCTAGGACAAATAGCTTATTTGGAATTCTGAAACTCAGCTGTATAGTCACGTCTTCGGATCTTAGCTAGAACATTGAGATGTAGTTGTGCAAGATACAATTCACTACAAAAAAAACAAAAAAAAAACCTTACTCCCCATACCCCCAGCCTTCTAGCAGGAATTTTTCCAATACGTAATGTTTTTTTTTCACTAAAATATACAAAATGGAAAAATAGTCAAGTTTTTCACCTGAAATGTACAATTTTAGATCAGTTCCTCACAATTTCCAGCTTAGCAAATAAAACCATAATGTTTTTATGGCACAACTTAAAGCAACCTTTGGAGTCACTTGCCTTGTTTATTATTACATTTAAGATATTTATGGGAGTTCAGAGGTTGAGATATGTACTAGAAGATAAACAGCTGGTTATGGTATAACACAAGGTTGACTCTTGGGAATTCTACAAGCAAACTACCATACATAACAAAAAAAAAAAATTGTTGAGAGAGGAGGATATAGATGGGGTATTTGGCTGGATTGAAATTTGGCTAAATGGGAAAAACAATCACAATTAATGTGTATATATACAAATAATTAAGCAATAAAAGTGCTTTTATTGCTTAATTATTATTATAGTGCTTTTATTGCTTAATTATTTGTATATATATATATATATATATACACATTCTTTTATTTTCAATTTTTGTTATAATAAAATATCTCCTTATTTACTTTGGAGTCTGCTGCCAATTCATCAGTTCCAGGTTCCTGTGGACATACCTGATGTACCAGCACTATATGTCTCAAGGAGGAGACGATAAGCGCTAAAAGTTTAGAGCCAACTTTTAAAAAGGCTCTGGAAATTGTGAGTGTGAAAAAAGCTATTCCTCACTTTGATATTATATACAGGTTACACTATGTATGTTTTATTTACCTGTGTATAGGTTACAAGAACTACCTAATGTGTATGATTACCTGAGACATTATTTTATGTAAGGTAATATCTTTTCTACTTTGTGTGCGCTAATCACCTTTTCTTTTTATTTTATCACTTTTGCAAGTGTATTTGGTGACACTACACTTGGGTATTTTTAGCTGCACCAGTGTCCATTATTCTAAGCGCCTTTGTATCCTTTCTTTCTTCCTGTTTATACCATAACTGTTTCACCTGATTGAACTGGGTATAGTGTCTGGAGTCATACGGCACTGCCCATCTATTCAGTATAATACCATTTTTAAAGTTTTAATGCTAAACAAGAGTCCCCATGCACCGCGTACTGCTCACGCTAATGACGAAGCAATAGCTTTAGCAGCAATGTTTTGCTGAGATTGTCAGCTGACTGCTTTCAGCCTATCGCTGTGATGATTGCAGGTATGAATCAGTATGGCTACAAGGAAGTGTGTAATCTCTGCCTTAGCCACATCTCTAGTGTGGGCGGGGTTATAAGAATCCAAGGAACTTCATTCAGTGTTAAACTGCTCGATAAAGGTTTAACACTCAATGGAGGGGACAGCGCCAGTGGACTTCAGGCACTATAACAAATTCAGCAAGATGAAATATTTATAGTGAGTATTTTAAATATGCAATGATTTTTTGACCCTTCACCTCATTACTTTCCAGCCGAAGTCTGCTATGTAAACTCTACATACACCTTATGTAAACTGAAACAAAACAAATTGTTTTACCCCATGTTGTTTGACAGTAAATACGTTTCGGTTGGTTCACGTAATCCTCTCATTTTAGGAAGACATTTTTTTTTACCCCAGTTTAAATATAATTTCAAAATGGATTGTTATGACAATTGAGTGAAGATAACAGATTAACTGTTACAAATGTATCACCCATATTAGCCTACAATAAAGGCCGATATAGATGGTACATTTGAAACAGTTAGTACCTTATTTCGACCTTAACTTTGAAATTCACTTTGAATTCTCATTTTGGTGAAAAACCCTTTGTGAGTCCATATACATAAGAACTGGTTATTGCAATCTCTTAACTTTATATAATTTAATAAGTATGCTTAATAAATGCAGGATTCAGAAAACTCATGGGCCACATAAATGTACTTTTTACGCATATTTTATTCATAATATGGCACATTTTATTGTATTTATTGATATCCAAAGGAAGAACATCTTGCCATTCAAAAGTTAAATTATTCTGAAACATTATCTCTGATAAGAGAAATATAAAAGGACAGGACACAACATTTTTAATCAATCTCCTTTTAAAAAAAATATACTGAAATTGTTAACAATATTAAAATATTCATCAAAAAATATAATAAAGCACAATATACATTTAATAAATAACAAAACTGAACTAGTTCTATAAACATATGTAACAAGCAAACTTCACCCCTCCTGAAAATGTTTTATTTAAAAAGATAAAGCTGAAAAAGAATATTGCAGTTTTAAATATCTTATATTCTTAGTAACAATATATACAATGTATGTAAAGGTCAAAGAACACTTGAAACACCATAACCACTGTGGTGTGTTGTGGTGGTTATAGTGCCATTTGTGCCCTGGTGCACCCTCATTGTAAATAGTCAGACCATTTTAGAATGATTTGCCTTCTTAACTAGGGTCTGCTGGGTCTCTACTAATTCTGACAGAGCGCTGTAAGCTCTCTATTAAACTAAGCCAGGTGGTGTCTGGTGCCTGTGAGTGATCAGCTGGCTGAGAAGGATGTATTTCTGCCATGAAGGGGCATGGCAAAGGAGAAAGATTTACGGTGCAGCATTCTGCAAAAAATCTATTTTTTTGTGCAAAGACTATAAAGAATTGAGCATGCAAAAAAATACGCTTTTGTTTTGTCATATAGACCCTTGGAAACTCACTATGATATATGTCTAACCATTTCTTAATATTTGTAACTAATTTTGACTATACAAAAATTCTAATTTGTTGCCATCTCAGAAAAATGTATAAAGCTCGGTTGAGCAGGTTCCTGTAACATTTTGTAATTGTCTCATTTATTGTTAATTTCCCCCTCTTTATAATATTGTAAAGCAAAGAATAAGTTGGTGCTATATAAATGCCAATATTAATACTACTACTAATAATGATAAAAGCTAAATTACGTTTCTGAACACAATCTTAATGGATTGTGATGGTAATTAAGAACCAACCGATTCACTTACTCCAGGGGGTAGGCAACCTTCGGCACACCAGATGTTGTGGACCACATCTCCCCTGATTCTTTGCCAATACAATGGCTCGAAAAACATTATGGTAGATGTAATCCACATCATTTGGAGTGCCGAAGGTTGCCAAGCACTGATTTAGTCTTCCACAACAAAATCAGTGACTTGTTTTTCCTATTTCTCCTTCATGATAGGCGTTCAGATGCGCTTCAATTTCCCTCCAAATGTCCTTGTGATGCCAATGTCACTTTAACTAGAGTAAGCCAAATACCTAATTGGTGATCAATAAAGTGATCTATAATTTATATATAAAAAAAAAAATATATATATATATATATATATATATATATATTAGCATGACTCTTGTTTAACACTTTTTTTCTGAGTGATTATGGAGTCAGATTTTATGGATCTTGTATCAAATAAATAATGTGATGACTGCTAAGGATACACAATACACAATCACACAAACTTGCATACAGCCAGCGCAGGAAGCGAAAGAGGTAATTTAAATAATACTTCCTTTAAATGTATTATAGTAAACTAGATAGTGCAATGCACTGATGAAAATATTAGGCATTACATAACAGCATCCCTTTAAATTTAACTCTGTACCATTAACATAGAAAGACAGTTGGATGTATGTATGTGGGTCATCTCATTGTTCTTAAGCAGTTAAAAATATACCAAGACTTGATTGGACAGAAGCATAACCACAGGTATCCTTCAGTAATTATCCCATGTACAAAGAATGAATTGGGGGTCTATGGACTTAGCTTTGAGTTGTAAAAAGCTGAGAACGATCTTGTGCAATGTTGGTAACAAAGTTTAACCCCTTAAGGACACATGACATGTGTGACATGTCATGATTCCCCTTTATTCCAGAAGTTTGGTCCTTAAGGGGTTAAAGGAACACTAAAGGCATCCTCAAAGAAGTGTTTTGTTTTTTTTGTAGTGCTCCAGTTGTGTTAAGCCTGCAATGCAAAATGCAAGAGGCACTTCTGCTCCAGAGGCATACTTGATTATACAATTAAATGCTTTTCATAGAAAGCATTTTATTTGGCGCAGTGGTGTTTTGCCACACTTGCCCACCCAAGGCTACCCTCTGGGGAAGCATTAGGTTGGCTGAGATCATCAATACTGATGATCTCAACTGAGTAGGTGGGATGGTGACAAGACCAGTGCATCACGGTGTATAAGGTAATCAAAACTTACCTTTGAAACCCTCACAGGAGAGTCTGGATACCTGAACAGGTAGAGAAACACTATAGTATTAGGAATACGTGTTCATATTCCTAACATTATAGTGTTTCTTTCATAAAATCAAGATCTCAAATCAGCTATTTATAACACTCTGTTTGGTGAATAGAACCATTTGGTCCATAGATAGTTGTACTATTAACAACCAAATAAAATGGAGGCCAATATATCTAACAAGCAACCATTTTGAGTTTGATACTTTAACTTGTCAATATTTCCCCAAATGTTGCAGTTCAGTCTTTAATATAACACTATTCGCTGCATAACGAACGTACCCTTACATGTAAATAAAAATACTATGCGATATAGTCATAAATAACAAGCTTAAAGATACCAGAGGAAAATTCCAGTTTTAAACACTGCTAAAACAGAATGACGTGTTTAATTCTTTGAGTGATAGGTTGGAGTGCAAATGTAATGAACTGCCCCACTCTTTCATTCATGGGGCTTTTATGAAAATAGAAATGGTTATCTACGATTCTTTATGAAGAGTTCAGCTTATCTGGCTGTGCCTGATTAACAATATTTTCTACAAATTTTTGATGCATTCTGTACATGGAATCACTGTTCAGAAACAGCTTCAATTTTTTCATCCGTCGACGCAACGGTTTCTTAAGCTGGCGTGTTTTTAATAGATTTAGAATTTTTAAAGTATTTCCTTCATTTTTATTTCTGAAAAGATTTAGAAGCTTAAGTATTTGTTTTGGTGGGTCACATGTCTTTACGGTATTTTCTATGTCCTCTTTTTCAATCTTCTTTCCATGTAAGCTTTGCATTAAATCTGTTAGGTCTTTGACCGTCAAATTTAAGTTTCTGACATGTTTTAACACTCCCTTTTCGCAAACTTCGATGCCTGCACATGAATAAAGAAAGCAATATTGTTAATAGCAGTGTCTTGTTGATGCTTGGTAAATTACAATTAAACAGACCTGTGGATACTGTTGATTTATCGGATTGATACATTTGTGCTGTTGGGCTAAGCTATGTAGTCAGTGTGGGATGCAGAAGGACTGTTATAACAAAGGCAGGGAATAGGTGGGCCTATAATATATAGCATATAGCAAGATAACTAACTTAGCGCTACAGAGTCTCTAGTCTTTCTCCAAATTGGCCGCATTTTTGTAAAAGACCACGAACGACATGCAGACCATTTAATCTCAATGAAGTGATCTGAGTGCAGTGATACTTTAGTTTTTAAGCTGCAATATAAAACATTGCTGTTTAGTAGATAAGGAATGTTTGATTGCAGGTTTAACACACCTCTAGCGGCTGTTTTCCTGAGAGCCACTATATGCGCTATTGCTGAATAACAGAGTCAGAATTGGTTATTCAGCCAAATAATAATCATATAGAGCACTTGATTGGTGCAGTGTGGCTATTTGCTGTGCATGTGCACAAGTCTCCCACTGCTTTCCTATGGCAAATCACTTGATTGGGTGAGATAATCAAGATAGATAACCTCAGTCAAGGAGGCATGACTGGCAGCGCGGTGAGGAGTACAAGGGGAGTAAAACTTATTTTTTTATTGTAAACGGGAAGGGACACCTATATACTATAATGGGACACTTTAGTGTTAGGAATACATGTTAGAATTCCTAATAGTATACTGTTCCTTCAAAGCTTCAGGGAGTCAAGTTTTGTATAAAAGAAACCACTTATGTGTTTTGTGAAGTCTTTACTGTGTTATTTTTTTGCTACTTATTATTTTTTTAACATCTTAAAAGAAGAGAACATACAGTGCAAGCACAGAACCATTAAAGAGTTACTCCAGAAACCTGGATTACGTTCAGGCATACTAAATGTTTTCCAAGGTAAACCTGCTGGAGTTTCCATTAACAAGACAGGAAGTGCAGGAACCATAAAACAAGCAATGTAAGCACAACCAGATGACTTTTCAGGACAATGGAAGCACTTGGGGCTGTGTTATGCAAGTACATTATAAATCAAGGGGTTTATTTATTATTAAAATACCGAACTGCAGTGATTTTAAAACTGAATCGGAAAATGTAGGCAGAAAAAGTTCTCATTTAGAAGAGTTCTCTACACCGACTATAGACACAGTTTGTTTGTCTACACTGAATATTGTAATTCAATTTCATTTCAATACTATTCGAAGTTTAGTGAAGAAACACTTGTTTGGCTGTAAAATCGAAGGGATTTAGTTCTAATCCCTGCATAAATCTGGAAAGATTAACACGGTATCGGTGATTATAATTTCTATCATTAATTTGAAGTTCATAATTCTTTTAAAGTTTGTTAAAGCAGGGTATTCACTAACCTCTTGTTAATATTTGTAATCAATCTTTAATTTATTTGCAGTTACATCCTCCTAGCACAATATCAAACTTTGGAATATATTGGTACTCAGTGGCGTACGCATGACCCATGGGGCCCCGGTGCAAAAATTGATCCGTGGGCCCCCCCACGCTTACTCTGCGTGGGCCAGGGCCGCAACACATGGCGGCGGGCACCTGGTCGCAGGGGTTGCAGGGCTGCAACCCCTGCGACCGCGGTATGTATGCCAGTGCATGCAGATGCACACACACTTAAAGGACCACTACAGACACCCAGATCACATCAACTCAATGAAGTGGTCTGGTTGTCAGGTCCCTCTATTTAAACCCTGCAGATGAAAACATAGCAGTTTCAGAGAAAAGGGTTAATCCAGCCTCTAGTGGCTGTCTCACTTACAGCCGCTAGAGGAGCTTCCGCGATTCTAAGACACTGAACACCCATAGGAAAGCATTCAGTAATGCTTTTCTATGGGCGGTTTGAATGCGCGCGCGGCTCTTGCCTTGCATGCGCATTCGGAGCTGCGAGGCGGAAGGGATCCCCAGCGCCAAGGGTGTCCGGCGCTGGAGAAAGGTAAGTGCTGAAGACACACACACTCTCATGAACATACGCATACACACTAGCTAACAGACACACACATTTACTGACAGAGACACACTCAGCGACAGACATACATACACACTCACTTACAAAACATACACTCTCATTGACAAACACACACTCACTAACATACACAAACACACTCAGTAACACACTCACTGACACTAGCAGACACACACTCTAACACACACACTAACACTCACACACTAACACACACACACACACTAACCCTCACACTAACACACACACACACACTAACACTCACACACTAACACACACACACACTAACACACACTAACACGCACACACTAATACTAACACACACTAACACACTAACACACACTCACACTCACACTAACACACACACACTAACACACACACTAACACACACACTAACACACACACACACTAACACTCACACACTAACATTCACACTAATACACACACACTAACATACACACACACTAACACACACACACACACACACATACACTAACACTCACACACTAACACACACACACTCACACACTAACACACAGTTACATAGTTACATAGTTACATAGCTGAAAAGAGACTTGCGTCCATCAAGTTCAGCCTTCCTCAGAAATGTTGTTGCTGTTGATCCAAAAGAAGGCAAAAAACCTGGTCTGAAGCACTTCCAATTTTGCCACAAACTAGGAAAAAATTCCTTCTTGACCCCAAAATAGCAGTCAGATGTCTCCTTGGATCAAGCAGCTATTACCCCACTAATTAGAAATTATATCCCTGTATGTTATGTTTTTGTAAGTATTTATCCAATTTCAGTTTAAACATCTGTATGGACTCTGACAAAACCACCTCTTCAGGCAGAGAATTCCATATCCTTATTGTTCTTAATGTAAAAAAACCTTTTCTTTGCCTTAGATGAAATCTCCTTTCTTCCAGCCTAAATGTGTGACCTCGTGTCCTATGTATAACCCTGTTTATGAATAGATTTCCAGAAACACTCACACACTAATACTAACACACACACTAACACACTAACACACTTTTAAAAAAAAATGTAATCCCCCAGCCTCCCCCCCTTTTGGAGTGCTGGGGGCGGCCGGTCACTGACAGGCTGGCGCGCGCGCGCCAGGGGGCACTCTCTCCTCTTCAGCTCCCTTGCGCGCCGAGTAGGGATGCCTGCGCCGGAAGATGACGTCATCTTACGGCTCCGGTATCAGTGTGGTGCGCGAGGGAGCCGAAAAGGAGAGAGTGCTCCCTTGCGCGCGCATGCGCCCAGGACCGGTGTTCTATTATTCTGCTATACTCCGTCAGATTTCTATACCCCCGTCACTTCCGGGGAGGGGAATCAGCTGGATCCTGTGCTGCACATTCGTGCTAGCACTCCTGCTACTCCTCCACAGCCAGGTAAGTAAAACTAGTTTTACACTTTCACTAAGCTTAGGCACACAGGACATTTAGGGTTAAGTGAGGGTTCAATTAGGGTTAGGTAAGTGATTCTAACCTCTCTCACACTCTATTCTTACCCTAACCCTTGGGGTAAGGGTTAAAATAAAGTGTGAGAAATCACTATTTAGTGATATTCCCCTAATGTGATTTATCACTAAATATTAACAAGTCCCTAATCCTAACCCTAATTTGAACCCTAACATTAACCCTAAATGTCCCGTGTGCCTAAGCTTAGTGAATGCACTAACTATAATGAAAGTGTAAAACTAGCTTTACTTACCTTCCAGGACCTTGCTGTGGAGGAGTAGCAGGAGTGCTAGCACACATGTGCAGCACAGGATCCAGCTGATTCCTCTCCCCGGAAGTGACGGGGGTATAGAAATCTGACGGGGTAGAGCAGAATGATAGAACACTGGCCGTGGGGTGACAGCAGGGCCAGCCCTGGGGGGGGCCCCAGGGGAAGAGGCTGGCCCAGTGGGTACATACCGGGTCGCAGGGGCAGCCGGGCCACTGTTGGTACTATACACATACCAATAATAATATTAATAAAATAACTGTTCATCTGTAAAATGCATTAAAAAGGGATAGGAAATTGAGCAAACCTTCTCTGACAATAACAAAGAATAGTATTTGTAAAAACCCAAAGCATACGGGAATATTTATTAAACATTTTTAGTTTGCTAGTGACTACCAATTCTAATAGAACCTGCCAATTAGTGCACTCATTAGTGACTGCTGAACATGAAATGCAATACTGGGAATACTAATATACCAGAATGTCATACAGTGAGAATGGTTGTTCAGAGAAACAGGTTGTACGTTTTTCTATTTTTTATTGTTTCTGACGTTTTTCCTTCTATTTTTCCCTGCAGCAGCCAATCCACGTTTTTCTTTTTTAAATCTCTTTAAAAGCACAGCTCTTCTTGCAGCAGTAAAAACAAAACAAAAAAAACAACAAAAACAAAACATAAAACCAGACATGTCTCATAATTTGAATATTTAAAGGCAGATTGCCATGCCCTTCATTACACTTGTCCAGTAATAATTAATTTTGGCCTGTTCGTCCAAAGCAAATGCCTTTTAATTTACACCTGGTTGAGTCGAATTTATTGAATAAGAAGACTCCACAGATAAATACCGGACAAAAGATTCATCCGGGTGTGAATTAAAAAGCAATTAATTTGGGTTAACCGCACAAGCCGAACCTCTCCTTTATATACAACAGTTATAAGTGAGCCATTACTGGTGTTTTAATATGGATCAGAATTATATTTTAAAGTGATAGCATTTAATAAATAGAAGAATTATCCAACATTTATGAAGACTATTTTTCCAGAATATAAAGTAACTAATTGTTTAAGAAGTAACATCACTGATCAATTATAATTAGAGTGTTTGGCAGACTGGATAGTAGGTAGAGTTAGAGAATTTCTGCAGAAATAAACTAGTATTTTCTCTATGATTCTTTGAGTCTGTTGTATTTATTGTTCGCTTTTATGTACTAATTGCCTATACCAGCATATATATATATACACATTTAATAACTTATTCATTTGAATTCTGCAAAAGTTTTTTCAGCAAGCAAAAGTAACAGTCTGCCCACCTTGAATGAAGTGAAATAATGGGTACTGTGCTTTGTTCTGTTCCTTCCATAATTTAAAGAGATAAAAGGGCTGATCTTCGGGATTGTAACTTTGTTTAATCCTTGATAACTGTTGAGCCATCACCTTAGCACCAGGTAACCCCTGTGCGAGAATAGTTAGCCAATTTGGGACATTAACAGAGAACCGAAATAATGCTTCTTCACAGAGCGTCACATCTATGGAGAGAAACAGAAAGCCAATTAGTGCTAGTATAGATTTTAAAACAATAAACTGCATAAACAATAGACCTGTTGCATGTATAATCTGGCCTTCATTTAGAAAATTACCTCGAATTCACTTTAGTAAATAACACTTTCAGACACTTTATTATACAATATAATATTCTCCACCACTATTAACGTCTGATAGGGAAAGGAAAACAGATGAAGGAATCAGGACCAATGCTGACCCTATTTTATAAGTATTGATCCTGCTGATTGTAAGTATTTGCACCTATTTTGGAAAATCGCTTTGTGGGACAGGAAACCTTCGGCACTCCATATGTTGTGGACTCCAATAATGCTCTTAGAGCCATAATTCTGGCAAAGCATCAGGGGTGATGTAGTCCCCAACATCTGGAGTTTCGAAGGTTGCCTGTCCCTGAAAGATTAGTAGTACCCTGATTTAAAGTTACACATTCTATGGGTCAGAAAAAATGGTCTGTTTTTTGGCTTGTAAGAATTAAATATATCTTGTTATGCAGGAAATGTATAAGAAATAATGACTGCAACTGTACTGTTTTCTTTTAGGCCTGCTTCATCCCTGCCTGCAGACTGAAATATAAATAGAATAAATGCAAATCTGAGACACGAGAGTAAGAAAATATTCTCATATGTGAGAAATCTTTCTAGATCCTTGGTGGTTTACCTAAATCACAGTTAGGTGTGTATTCTGGCGTCTTCTCCTCACATTGTGCATCACTTTCCGAATCGCCTTTATTTTTAGTTTTAAGACCCAGCTTTTCACAGTCCCTGTGTTTTTGGCACGCTGCACTTGCTGAAGTCACATCAGAAAATGTTCCCTTTGGGCATTTTTTGCAAACTGTGTCGCTGTCTGGTGTCCCTGTGGAAAAAAACAAACAAATAAATTGAATTGAATTATAGTGATAAGAAAACCAAACCTTCAACGTTTCGGCTAAGCTGGGTCTAAACCAGAGTTGGAGAATATTTCCAAATTCTAAAATAAATTGTGCAATTCTGAATCAAATATTCCCTGGATTTAAAAATGTATTTCATTTTTATTAGGGTATCATGCAAGGTAACACATTTGATAATATGCCAATGAGCGTTTTACAGCAAGATGGAAACACACTGATTGCAATGGTGTATCGCTACAATGTGTGAATGAGCAAGTTGGTGGCTTGAAACACTAACATAGCTTAGTGCAACAAGGAGGACTGCCACCCTGTAATTCAGTAATAGACAGAATCCATGAAAGGAAGGACAGATTACATGTGATTCTGAAAGCAGAACGATTCTGAGAACATTAACATATCAGAATGGAGAATGAAAGTCTATGGGAAGCATCAGTGTGAAAATATTAATTCAGCAGTGTTATAATACTGCTCTGGCGTCTGTTACCGAAGGCCTTATATCGTCCGTGGGTACTTCCATTAACTTGCACAGCTGATCACTATACTAAGTGCTATGACCTGGGCTTGCAGTCGCTTTATCCATCAGTAATCACATTATAGCAGATCTTGGATAGTTACAGCAAGGAAAGAGACAACCAGCTTCTATCTTTGTAAAAACACCAACTGCATTTTAGTTTCAATTCACATCAGGATATGCAAACTACACTTCTCTTCCCCCATCTGCAAGTCCACCTTGACAACAAGAGCATACCTAGATTGGCCAGGCAGCTATCTCATGGCATGTTGTGCCATGTGACACATTAAAGTCTATTTTTGTCACAAGCAGAGCATGTGTGGCTATGGGGAGCATTACAAACGCAGGTAGAGGACATCCACAGATGACAAATAATGCTTATACAATAGCAAAGACAAAGCAAAGCCATGGTTCCCAGACTGGCTAATATAAGAGCGATGACAAGCTAGTCAAGTCCTCCATGAATCTTATGCCCTCAACTCTGGAATACCAGCCTGCTAGTTTTGGAGGTTTACTTTGCCTTTAATATAAAACATAATAAGGGTCTTTGCTCCAAGTAGTGGGGATTGCATGTTTTTCTAAATTTGTGTATGAGATATTACTTGTGAAATAGTTACGCTTTCTCTTGGGTACAATTTGAGGGATTCTTATTACACAACCATCAGATGCGTAACACAGAGCACTTGGCCATACCAAAGTTCCAACAGGAACAATAGAGGCATGTAGCACTAACTAGAAATTCATTTGTAAGTGGCCTCTTGGTATTTATTGCTAAGGAATAGGGGCTCTGACTTAAAATTGGGGTGAAAGTGGAAATTCCTGTCTGGTTCTGTGTCAGAAAGGGCAAACTTAACTCATATTTGTTGCTCATGATTCACTGCTTAGTTGTCTCTGGTTGATATAATGTATTGCCTATTTAAAATGTCATCTTGCCTTGTTTGATTGATTATTGAGTCTCCCTGGCTCTACTAGCCGTAAGTAGCCCTGTTCTTTGAAGCCTATATTCCTGTGGGCCCAAAGAAACTGTCCAGTTCTGCCACTCATCATTGGCTTCAGACCTTAGATCATGCTTCTGACTACTCCTGTGTATTATCTTTGCTTTCCATTGTTTCCTCCTGATTATGGCTCTCATTTCTGACTACTCTCTCAGAAAACCACTGTATGCCTGCTGACTCCCTGGCTTCCCACCTCGGCCACCACTACTTATCTACTCTCACAGATTCTCCTTAGGTTTTGCTACAACACTGGCAACAGACCCCAGCTGACGAGTCACGATCAGATTATTCTTTTAACCACTGTCTCATTCATACGGACTTTGTTTCCAGGTGCTCAAATCAAAGTAAGCGCCATAATTGCCTTGTTTTTATATTCACTCACTCCAAAGACTCTGCTCTAACTCGTGGACTTTAAACTTCTCCATTGTCTCGTTACTGCTTCCTCTGCTAAACACTCCCATTTCATAAAGGCCTCTGCAGCCTTCAATGATAACTGGACAGCATATGCACCTCCCTACTGCTCATCACTGCTACATCCATGGTGCGTTAGCCTTAGCTCCTATTCAGTGTTATACCACTTAGGTCTCCTGGAACTTCTAACTAAACCAATCCAAGCTCAAATAAGGAGATTCTGCCTCACTGTGTCTAAAGCAAAGGATGTTGTATTATCATGCAGCAAATTCCACCAGCTTCTGAGAGCTATCTGCTTCCATTGTTAGGAATGTATAATACATGGGGGAAAATTTGGCTGCTTACTTAAGATTCACATTTGTTGGTGATTTATTTCTTTGCCACCCTCAATTGGATGAAGTTGACTTGATCTAGGAGGGCCTCAGTAGAAGTGGGCTAAGCTACATTGCAGATATCATTGTGAGAAGTTTGAGGACATCAGTTAGGGCCTGTAGCTTCAGCACTTCTCTGGTTTCATGCCAGGTTTAGCTATTAATCAGATGTTTGCCTCCAGAGACTTTGTGGCCATATTTGCTCAGTGAGGGAGTTGAAGTTCTTAAGGCAGTGTGAGGATAATTGTTCTGTGACTTTTTTATAGAAGTTGTGAGGTAAGTACCAGAACTCTAGTTTCAAGCATCCATCACTATCAGATACAATATTAAACAAGTGGAATGTTATAGTTAATGTATACTATATAAAACCGCAATCTCAATGCATACATGTAGCTACTAATTTATTAAATTGGAATTAATAATTTTACACTTAATTAACTAAATACTTCTAAATTAAGACCTGCGAGGTAACTCAAAATATATCTTATTTATAATGTTATCTTCTAACTACACTTGTTCATATTATGTCACCTATGTATTTGTGAGACAACGCCTGTATACTCTATTTTGAGTTATTACAGATTTTCATTACTCGATAACTTTATTGACAAAAATATTTTTTTAAATATAGGAAGACTAGAAATTGAATCAGCTCTGATTATTAAAAAAAAAAAATATATCCAAAATTTCAGCATATGACCAGTTATAAACATTACAACAAAAAGGACAACATTTGACTGGGGAATGTGTGATATCATTTATCCCTGCAACCTCCTTCAATATGGCAATCTCAGACAAACACACACTCTGTTACCGCTAAATCCATACCAGCTATGTGTAGGGACACAACACATAATCCTAATAGTCCGTCAGCCAAGTCAGCCTCTCAAACTGCAGTCCATCTAGAATTTTCCAGCTGGCCATTCCAGACCTAACCAAGATTGTGCCGCCAGGCAAACAACAAACCCACAAGCCCTACACAAGTCTTGCCTACTGCCTCATTTAATAAATATGCCAAATTTATCTAAGCACTCCTCTACTGTGGCTTCTAATCAGTAGAGGAGTGCTTAGATGCTGTGGTCCAAACAACTTTTTGTCCAGAAGGCCTCAAGTGTTGGTAGATTTTGGAGCATACTGACAAACCGTGAAATGGGATTTCCCACAAAATATACAAAAGGTCAAATTAAATAGCAATTTAAACCCAATCTACATATTTACTAGACTTGGGCGCCATCAATTTGTTTGTACTTTGACAAAAAACAATTGCCTATCCAAACAAAATTTCAGCTATTTGTTCGTTGATTTTTGGATGAAATTTGGGCATTATTTTTATTTTGGAATTCTTTTAGATAAATAAAAATCCTGATCCGTGCCGTGGGCCATAACTGCACCCATTAAGTAGATAATTCACTAAATTGGTACCCTTGTGGAATTGCCATGTATAAGGTTACCAAGTTATGAAGCTATTTAGTAGATAGCTCCTTCTTTATATCTTTATGATAATCCTACAGGAAGTAGGGAGCTATCTACTAAAAAGCTTAAATACCAAATTTATAAAAAGCTTTTTTTTCAGACAGAATTTTTTCAGACAGCTAAACTAATACTAAGTAAAAAATACTCAGTATCAGTAAAAGAAGGTCGCCTGTGACTTCTATGTTTCCATGGTGGAGCACCTAAAGAAATAATTAACTTGGGGGCTATTAGACTATATTAAACTAAACCCTAGATCTCCCTCCAGCCCAACGGGTAAGGGCCCTAAATAATAATGGGGGCAGGGGGGTGAAACTATTGTCCCCCCCCCAGGCCCCCAAACAAATAGCCAAAATTCGAACAAAAAAACTTGTTCATCCAAAAAAGAATTCCCAAGTCTAATATTTACTTTAACTTATTACATAAAGTGTCCAGAAACCAAATAATATTTATTTTCATGCTTTAGATTACTGAAAGCAGCACTTCCATCTCTGTTTACAGAACAGAGGAAGGGGCCACCACTTGTACATTCTTTGTAGCATTGGCCAAAGCAAACATTAGTCATGTGTCAGAATCTTACTCATTGCTTGGGAACTAAAATGTGATTCTTAGAAAAGACATAATACCAGTGGTACAATTGTAATCCAATGACATTCATCTAGACGTCATCAGGCTATAGACATACATAAACAAAGATGAAAGATTTAAAGCACATGTTCCCTTAAGGATTATGATCGAAAGACTAGGTAAAATCCACATTTTACTTTAATTTAAAATGACTTTCTGATATTTTGTCTTGTCCTGTCTTCTCAAGAACATTGCAAACTGCCCTTATGCCTATTACATATAATAAACTTACATGACATGTGCCTAATACATAAAGACAAGACATAATACATTATGTCTTCCAACAAAGTCATTACAAAATGAAACATCTGGAACAAATTTCACATTATCAAAAATTCAGTGAAAGCTTATTATAAGTTCTAAAACTTCTTAGAATAAATCTAACGTTGAGTTGGCTACGTAAACACAACCTGTAGGAACTCTGACCATGGACAGGATGATAACGTGAGAAGGGGTTGATTACTTTCAGTTTCAATTTTAGTGCAACAAATGTAGCTTACGCTTTCCTGAGATGCAGATGAGCGGAGTTCAAGGGAATACTATATTTGTTCTGTTATACTGTTGTGTTATTATTATCTTGTTTTCTTATGTGAAATCGTTCACACCTACTTTGTGTAAACATATATGTATAATGCAAAATGATGTATAAATGTCCGCCTGCATGAAGCAAATTTGTGCATCCATTGTGACACCATTGTGATTTCTCGTTGGGCTGTTTGACCTTCCATGCAAAATATGAATCAAGTTACAAACAAAAAAAATGTTGTCTATTTGCTGAGTGGACTACCACGTACTTCCCTTTTTCAGAAATAGCATTTACATAACTTTACTAGTTTATGGAAGGTTTTTTGTACACTGACTGTTTCCTTGTTTAAATATTTATCGAAAATGAAAACATTTAGTAACTCGCATACGATCTTTGCCTTAACTACGCTGACACTGTATATTGCAGAGTTTGGTTATCATTCATAATCCCTTAAGGACCGATGGCGGTCATTGCAATACATAACTCTGCTTCTCTTAGAGGGGAGCTGTCAGTTCCCTGAATTTATTATGTTATATTTATTATCGTTATATGTAACAAGTATGTTTGTGATGCTGGAAAATAAAATGAAATGGAAAAATCCATGTCTCGATCCTGTTATTTTTATCTTAGCCCCGGGTCAATCATAAAAAAAAATATAGATACGAGGAGTAATGAACCTAGCAGGGCTATTTACTATGGTGAGAATTTAAAGTGAATTTCAAATTTAAGGCCAGAGAAGCCCAACTAAAAGCATTGATGACAGAGAATTTTTCCATTTTAGCTGCTTTTGCCTTGCATTTGAAATTCTTTTAAATAACTACGTTAAAACAAATTATGTTATTTTTAATGTTTAATTCAATGGCGTTAATTCCAGACAAGTGATAGTTACCGTTAAGAAATTGATCTGACTGATCCGTTTTTTCCCACGTGTCTAAATCTCATGTGTTTATACATTGCTCTTTGAGTTTTATTCATCTACTACACTAGTCGGTGACAATGATAAATCTAAATTAGGAAGGAAGTAAGTAATGTATTCACTTATTTGTATCTTCTGATTTTAAGACAAAAGTTATAAAAAAACAATTACATACCTAACTGTGCCACACCAAAACCAGGAGGACATTGTGTATGAGAATCGCAGAATTCTAAATGCAAATAATGTCCTTTCATACACTCACAGACCCGGTTGTGAGTTCCGTTGCATTCTTGCTTTACATACTGAAGTTCTTTGCACACGGCACTGCAAAACTGGCATTCATGGTTAGAGTTCCATGTGTCGGCGTAATGATGGGATGGACATGGCGTGCATTGCGTTTTTTGGTCCACGGTGCAGTCATGTTTAACATATTCTCCCGGTGGACACTGGTCGCAAAGTAAATGTTGAAATGTGGTGAGATCGTTGTGGTAGTATTGATGGGGGTAGGTATCTATTGCCGTAGAGATGTGGAACAGCTATAACAGAAAAATTGCAATTAAATTACATTTTATTTAACAGATAAAATCAAATAATACATTTTAATAAAATATTACATTTAACCTTAAACTCTTTGAACAATATGGGGCGATTCAGAAGCACCAAATAATATGAACTGCATCAAAGAAAAAACAATTTAAATCGGCAAAAACTTATAAGGAGAGAAAAGAATACTGAAATGTCCCCAGTTCATATTCCCTCCATTTGATCAGATTACCCCAGTTACAGTATTTTACAAACCAATATACAGACAATTAATGTTTACTGTTTGCAACATTCTTAGATATCACTTGTGCAGGTCATTCCCAAGCTACAGAATTGTAAGCTATAATTGTGTAAAATGCATATTATAGCCATTTTAGAGAAAATGTCAATATAAAGGTATTTTGGACGTGTTCTGGATTTATTCTAGTCAATTCAAAAGAGCCCCACCAGTCTGGCAATTCTAAAGAGATAATGAGCTAATCATCCCGATTACCATGTTGTCTGTAATGGGGGTGAGATTTGTGAACAACTGCTTGACAAATCTTGGATGGACTGTACCCATTGCCTCCTTGCATCATAACCACTACAATGAGCTGTAATGGCTATAGTGTCAGTTAAATTCCACATTAAGAAGTCTGTCTGAGTACTACAGAGAGGAATAAAGATACACTGAAAACCACAACATTAAAACCACTTGCCAAGACAGCTCTGAGGTATCGTGGCCTCCACAAGACCTCTGGTCATGTCCTGTGGTATCTGGCACCAAGACATTAGCAGCTGATCCTTTAAGACCAGCAAGTTGTGAGGTGGGGCTTCCATCGATGGGATTTGTTGATCCAGCTCTTCCCACAGATGCACAATGGGATTGAAAATTTGGAGGCCAAAGCTACACCTTGAACTCTTTGTAATGTTCCTCAAACCATTCCTGAACACTTTTTGCAGTATAGCAGGGTGCATTATCCTGCTGAAAGAAGCCACTACCATCAGGGAACATCATTACCATGAAAGGGTGTACGTTGTGTACAACAAACTTTACGAAGGTGCTATAAGTCAAAGTAGCATCCATATGAATGCAAGGATCCAAGATTTCTCGGCAGAACATTACCCAGAGCACAACACTGCCTTTACCAGCCTCTGGGTAGCAGCACTGTAACATGGCTGTGTAATACAAACATACAAAATTAAGTCCTGTGCTCAAATATTCTCTACTCCTGGGCAGCAGCAATGACTGTTACTAGTACACATCAGCCCCACTACATAGAATACCAATCTCCAAATACAAATTATGTTTGTATTTGCTATTGTATTGGATCAAAATTCTTCTGTCCATTTTTTTTCTATCCTAATGTCCCTCTTTTGTATGAGCTCGGTATTCTTGGTGTGTCTGTGTCTTTGAACAACAATAAATGTATTTAGAAATCAGTCTGTGTAAATACGATATATTGTTCTTTTGCTAAATTACATTTTAGCTGCATAAATTATTATTGGTAAATAACCTAAAATTTTTCAGAACATTCCCGTCCCCGGCCACACAACCCACTCACACCCCTAACATTATAAGGTCCATCTTTGTCCACTGGAAATGTCGGGAGGTATGCTAATTAAATAAGAAGGGCATGGCAGATTGGCAGATTGGCACACACACACACGTGTACCAGTTTTTAACTTCCAAATATTTTTGTTGCCCATTCAGTATCTGAAACCGCTAATGAAGAAACCATTATTAACACCATAACCAGTTTCCCCCCCCCCCCACTGGGTATATATTGTTCCAAGGCAAACTTAAGGAATTAAAGGAATTGTTTAAATAAAAAAAATATATATTTTTTAACAATTTCAATATTGAACTGTGTACAAAAAGCATTTAGAGATAACACTGGTTTCCATAATTTGTTCTTAAGCAGGCACTCTAGCAGGATCCTGCAATGAATGAAAAGGAATGCACCATAGCCACTGCAGCATATTGTAGTGGTTATGGTGCCAGCAGTGCCCTGACAACTCCCCAATGTAAATAGTCAACATTTTGACTTCTTTTCTGAGGACCACTGGACACCAGTTACTTCCACCAGTGAGATACAGAAGCTGCTGTATGAGACTTCTGCCGGTTCTCCTGCACTAAACACTGCTGAGAAAATCTGCGTTCAATCTCAGCCAATAAACTAAACCCTTCACCCCCAGGTTTAGCTCAATGCTGAGAGCTTTCACAGAGGCCTTGACTGGCACCAGGCGTACCACAGGTAAGTTATCAACTGTTAGCAAATGGGATGACTGCTTACATTGCTCTTCATTGGGCTTCAGGACACACCTCGAACCAAACATAGAAACATAGAATATGACGGCAGATAAGAACCATTTGGCCCATGTTGTCTGCCCAATTTTCTAAATATTTTCATTAGTCCCTGGCTTTATCTTATAGCTAGGATAAGTTCAAAACAGGAGAGAGATATTCTGTCCAATGGCCTATGTTAAAGGGACACTATAGTCACCCAGACCACTTCAGCTCAATTAAGTGGTCTGGGTGCCAGGTCCATCAGGTTTTAACCCTTCAGATGTAAACATAGCAGTTTCAGAGAAACTGCTATGTTTACATAGCAGGGTTAATCCAGCCTCTAGTGGCTGTCTTCCTGACGGCCGCTAGAGGCGCATCCAGCATGCAGAACGTCTATAGGCAATCATTGAGAAATGCTTTCCTATGGACTGTTTGAATCCGCGTGCGGCACCTGCCGTGCATGCGCATTCCGCTCCACCTGGGAGCTGACGTCGGCAGGGGAGGAGAGGTCACCATCGCCGTGGGAGCCGGCGCTGGATTAAAGTAAACTGCTGAAGGGGTTTTAACCCCTTTAGCGCCAAGGGAGTGGGACACTGGGCACTATAGTGTCAGGAACCATTTGGGCACTATAGTGTCAGGAAAACAAGTTTGTTTTCCTGACACTATAGTGATCCTTTAAAGTTAAAATATAACTTTTAATACAATTGTTAAAAAGCTAGAAAAAAAGAGGCTAGCTGTAATTAATTCACATGAACTTAAGTTTTAAGTTGTCATCTGTAGCGAGTATAGCAGCTTATCTACTCTAAGTGAGGTGCCCTTGAAGGCACAGATTTGCTCTCTAAGCTAGGTGCCTGTACCAGGCACTCTGGATATTTAACTCTTGACTAGCTACTTGTAGCTTGACGCTGCAGCTGTGTTATCCTGCAGGACATTTAACTCTCCACTAGCGACTTGTAGCTTGACTCTGCAGGTGATCGAGTTTTTTGATGCCTAAACTCGATCGTGTCAATATACCCTTGTTATCCTGCAGTACGCTACCCTGATTTACTGTCCGGTCTGACCTCCAGACCGTTTATATAAGGCATTCATCTCTCGGCTACCTTAGCCTTTAGGTCTGTATACCGGACCTATATATTCTGGTTAGAGTTTTTATCTTTAACTAATGTAGCAGCTTATCCTCTGAGATTTAGGTGCCATTGAAGGCACAGATTTGCTCTCTAAGCAAGGTGCATGCACCAGGCACTCAGGATATTGAACTCTCCACTAGCTATTCTGGCTAATTATCTCTCTGGGTTGTATTGGCATTTATTCTTATTATTGCTATCTTTATTTATTATTTTTTTCTGGTAAATATATGTCAGTGGCGCTCTCCCACACATTGGGTTTGAGTATCTTGCACAACATTGCAGACATTAACCTAGAGACATTACTAGCCGATATATCCTGTGTATATATTTCCCACACCTTTACCCTTTTCTTACCCCTCCTCCCCCCTCTTTGGGGTTCACTTAACTTCATGTGAATTAACTAGAGCTAGCCTCTTTTTTTTCTAGCTTTTTAACGATTGTATTAAAAGTTATATTTTAACTTTAACATAGGCCATTGGACAGAATATCTCTTTCCTGTTTTGAATTTATCATTAAGGGTTACCCCCTAACTGTTCTGTCCTATTGATACTCCACATGCTTCTACCTTCTCTAACTTATAGCTAAGATAGCCCTATGCCTATCCCACTACAGCATGTTCCTTTAACTAACCTATTGGACTTTTGTTACATAAAGCACACCTTTAATCATGTTCAGGGCCGGACTGGGAAAAAAATTAGGCCCGGGCATTTTTCAATCAGAGCGGCCCCCTAAGAAAGGGGCGGGGCCAGAGAGTGTGTGTTTTGTCATCACTAATGACAACACGCCCCCTCTCAGTGAGCATGTTGGTTCAATGCCCAGAGCCCTGCTGAAGAGCTCTGACATTAGAAAAAGACCCTGAATTTGTTCTGCGCAGCGCAAGCAAATTTAATAACATGCTTGTGCTGTGTTTGCTTTTAAATTGTCTCTGGTGTTTCCACAAGTGGGATACCAGAGGACAAAAGGGCCAGGAAAGTGCATGGTGCATATGTTTGGAGCCTGCTTGTGGGATTGCATGTGTGTAGAGAGTGGTGTGGTATTGTATAAATAGGTCAATTTAATTTGTGTTTGTGGTGTAATATGTGTGGCTAGGGGCTGTAGAGAGTGTGTGTATAGGGGGCATAGTTTTATAGGGGATGCAGCGAGTGTGTGCATACGGGCTGAAGTGTGTGTGTATAGGTGACGTAGTGTGTGTAGGGGTTGCAGAGAGGGTGTGTTTAGAGAATGTTGTATGTGTTTGCTGACAAGGAATGTAGTGTGTGTGTGTAGGAGATCTACTGTGTAAAGGACCCAGTGTGTGTGTGTAGAGGATTAAGAGTGCATATAGGGTAAGGGATCTAATGTGTATCTGGAGCGTGTGTAGTGGTGCAGGGTGAGGGGTGCTGTAGTGTGTGTGTGTGTGTGTGTGTATGTATGTATGTGTGTATATATATATATATATATATATATATTTTGACTTATTGTATGTGTGAGGGGCGCAGTGTGTGTATGTAAGAGGGGTGCTGTGTGTGAGGGTGTTTTTATCTGCTGTCACATTCTAGGTTTCTAATTTTCTTTGTCTGTTAACTCACTGAGGGTTATTTTATATATATATGTGTGTGCTGTGTGTGGGAGTGTGCTGTGTGTGGCGCTGTGTGTGTCTGGGTGCGCTGTGTGTGTCTGGGTGGTGTCTGCGCTGTGTGTGTCTGGGTGCTGTGTGTGTCTGGGTGCGCTGTGTGTGTCTGGGTGCTGTGTGTGTCTGGGGGGTGCTATGTGTGCGCTGTGTGTGTCTGGGTGCGCTGTGTGTGTCTGGGGGTGCTGTGTGTTTCTGGGGGATGCTGTGTGTGTTTGGGTGCTGTGTGTCTGGGGGTGATGTGTGTCTGTGGGTGCTGTGTGTGCCTGGGTGCTGTGTGTCTGGGGGTGCTGTGTGTGTCTGGGGGTGCTGTGTGTGCCTGGGTGCTGTGTCTGGGTGCTGTGTGTGTCTGGGGGGTGCTGTGTCTGTGTGTTGTGTGTGTCTGGGTGTTGTGTGTGTCTGGGTGCTGTGTGTGTCTGGGTGCTGTGTATGGGTGCTGTGTGTGTCTGGGGGGTGCTGTGTCTGGGTGTTGTGTGTGTCTGGGTGCTGTGTGTGTCTGTGGGTGCTGTGTGTGTCTGGGGGTGCTGTGTATGGGTGCTGTGTCTGGGTGCAGTGTGTGTGTCTGGGGTGCTGTGTCCAAAGCTGGTGTGTGTGTCTGGGGGGGTGCTGTCTGGCAGTGTGTCTGGGGGTGCTTGGGCCCGCGCTGTGTGTGTCTGGGGGGTGCTGTGTCTGGGTGCAGTGTGTGTCTGGGGGGTGCTGTGTCTGGGTGCTGTGTGTGTCTGGGGGGTGCTGTGTCTGGGGGGTGCTGTGTGTGTGAATGTATTTTTTAATTTAAATTTAAATATTTTTTTTACTAATAAAAAAAAAAAAAAAAAAATTATATCCCCCCCCCTCCCTTCTTACCTTTATCCTGGGAGGGAGAAGATCAGTTCTCCCTGGGGGGTTGGGAGCCATGCTGCCTTCCCTGGTGGTCCAGTGGTGAGAGTGAACTTTAACCTGCGGGTTAGAGTTCACTCTCGCGAGATCTGAGCGTTGCCGCGGCAACGCTCAGAATCCCGCGAGAGGACCGGCGGAGCTGCTTGTTGGAGCTCCGCCGGGTCCTCCCTCCCTCACCAGCCGGCGCGGCCGCATCTCACTGTCTGTGGGCCGGTGAGGGAGATCTTTGATCTCCCCACCGGCCCACGGAGGCACTATGCAGGGCCGGCGCTCGGATAGCGCTGGCCCTGCAGGGGCCGGCCGGGGAGATCCCCTGCCGGCCTCGGCCCCACGGCCTTTGCCCGGTATGCCCGATGGCCAGTCCGGGCCTGATCATGTTGTAAGTTGCATGCAAGGTCGGTGCTGCCGTTAGGATAATAAGGCATTCTCCTGGAGCGCCCACTGAGAGGATTTTCTGCTGCTGTCTGAGGCCGGTGTGCTTAATGAGAACTTACTTAAGAAGTTAGAGAAAAATATATAGAGAAAATATATATCTGCAACCAAGCAGGTCAGGAATTATTATTTATTATTCATTTAATCCCTCTAGAATGTAAGCTCATTGAGCAGGGCCCTCCAACCCCTCTGTTCCTGTACGTACAATTACATGTCTGTTAGTCCACCCATTGTACAACGCTGTGGAATCTGATGGCGCTATATAAATAATAAATAATAACAATAATATTATTAATAATAATTTGCTGGTTTGCAAATATATCCTTTCCTGAATAGGAATAGGAATAGGAAGGTAGTTCTCATTGTACTATTACATGTTGTAGTGTATCCAGCTCATAATCTGCAGTTTAAACTATTTCCCCCCACCCCCTTTTATTTGGAGTGAGCATTTGATAACTAGTGAGCCCCCTAGTGGGAAGTACTAGTATTTCTTTTGGTTTCTATTGTGTTCGCTAAATGTGTCCCCGGGACGTCTCAATTCTCTACATGTCTCATCACTGCAATTCAGAATTTAGTGAATAAACCTCTGAGACAATGTAGCTGCATTCATGAGGGGGCGGCAAAAGGGATCTTTGTCTATGGGGACACGAATCCTTACACAGGTACTGGGTGCTAGAGAAATGCATTAAAATAAACACGGCTAACTCTCCAGTACTCAAACAGTTAAAAGTATGTTGCATCTTTTATGACATATGTATATACCCGGTTTATCAAATGCCCAGTTAAAAGCTACTGAATATATATGGTTTTTTTTAATACTAATGCTTTTGTCCTTTTCCTTCCTGAATTCCCCTGCTCTTCGCTTGCATAACCGAGATAAACTCACAAAATGTGCTTCTGTTGTTATGAATGGATGCTTATATAATGGAATGCACTTAGTCACTCCAGTACCACAATCACTGAGATGCCACTTACTGCTGAGAGCCATACAGAAAAATGCAGGGAATTAAATCCAGCTACCGTTTAGTGAGACATGTGGTCAGGGCATTGTGAATGATTTAATACAGTAACATTTCTGGGAAATATCCCAGCTGGCCAACGGATGGACCACCTGACGCCAGTTACACATGAAATGGGGACACTGGACCCTTGTGTGTGAGATCAGTCTGCTATATAAACTGGCCAAGGGCCCCTCTGTTATTGCACAACTGAGAAACAAGCTGTATGAGACCCCAGAAGTGACCAATGTAAGGGGGCAATACTTAATCTTTTATCTATTATCATTGTTTTCATAAACTCTTGTTTGTGGCTTTTACAGACAATATTATTCCCCTGTTTATAAAAGAAAAAAAAGTTGTGTACTCAAATCAGTGCCAAGTATTGTTTAAGCAAAATATAAAAAAAAAAAAAACACAGAGCTCCATAGAGATAAACTTACAGTATTGTGTGGCATGTATCAGTGTATCATGGAACGCCAATTCATTAAAAAACTCATACTATAGTTTGTAAGAGTGTATCACAGAGCTCCACAGGCAGAAAAGTCACAGTAATGTGTGATATATTAGTGTCTCACAGAGCTCCACATTAGTAACTCACAGTAACATGTATAAGCCTATCACAGAGCTCCACAGCATTAAAACTCAGATTGCAAGACAGCTCAGTTTCAGTTCCATTGAACAAATTTTTCTTTAATGAACAAGAAAACGTGTTAAAGCATCCAAATTTGACAACCAAACTGCATGCAGATTCTGATTGGTTGCCATTAGACCTCAAATCAATGGCTTTTTTTTTTTTATGAATGCACGGCAGAGCTGCAATAAAATACATAGCAGTGTACAGAGTTTATTAATGTATCACAGAGCTCTGCATCAAAAACATATGTTAGAGTGTGTCTAACAAATCCACAGTAATAAAACTCAGTGACGTGGGAATTGCTGGGTGCCAGAAACACCTGGGGCTTGAGTCCATGTTGTGCATAAATTCACACGAGTGTGACTAACGATTAGTTTATGCAATATATCATGTGCTCAACAGGTTTTATTTTTTATATATTTTTTTTCTATTTTACTCTTTTGTTTGTTTCTTTACATTTATGTTATCAGTACGTCTTGTTGATATTTTACTTTATTTCTTATCAATATGTATGCCTTTTTCTGCATTTATGAGAGTTATATTAAGGTATTATTCCTCCGTCCCTCTGTTGACCATCTGTAGGGATTTAATAGCAATTGATTGAAGTTCTTCCCTTATTGTTTAGACAATAGAAAAACCTGTTGGCTCTGAAGATCTTTTTTTCCCCATTGCATGTCTATTTACAGTATTTTAAGGAGATTTTCAATAAAGAGATTTTTTATTTCTGGGAACGAGCAGTAATGAGAATAATTCAGGAATGCATATTCTCCTGACCCTTAGAATTTTGCTCTGCCTCTGACTTGTTGGGTTCTGCCCATGAGACCCATATACTCACCACTGATCCAATGAGATATCATGCTCTGTTCAACAATATAAATCTCTCCATCCATGTATCTGGAAAAACAACAATCACTTTAAAAAGCTCGGACTCCACCCACAATACTGTTACCCAATGACAGCCCTTAAATACTGGGCAATCATGCATGCCTGTCTTTCAGGGCGTACGGGTTCAGACGGCCTAGTTTAAAGCCAATGGGTGACATAAAAATATCAGTTTGGACAGATTTAGCACATCTGAGGGGCCTATATCAAGAGAAAGAGGTACTTTTTAGCCACTTATTTCCAAAATTGCAACCAAAACTTGGGGGTGCTACTCCACTTGCTCGTTTGACCCATTCTCCACTGATCTCTGACTTTATTTTCTAATTCCAGTTCATTTCACCCAGATTTAAAATGCTGATAAAAATACACGAGCGAACAAGGAGCCACAACAGACAGAATACCACTGACACTAGTGGGACGTTCATGCTCACTTTCAAATTTTGACCACACGTAGTTACTGCCACTTTAAATTTTACAGTAATTCTACCTTCAGAACGCAGGTTACATTGTGTCAAAAGGTTTGGTGCTTTCCACAACAAATAAAAGCACTTTGATGATTAAAAAAAAAAAATCAAAAGTGATGAAAAGGTAATAACTGAATATGTTAACTGAGAGGAAACTAATTCTAAGCTTTCAGGACACCTGGGTTTCTAATTTAATGCTTTAATTCCAGATTTATTGTGTGTTAAACAAATACGCAATATAAACACACAAAAAATGTGGTAAAGGCCATGTGGCAAAGAACAATTTATAATAAACAGATGAGACAGGCTGTGGTTAGGACTCCATGCTGTGTCCTATGGACATATTCAAAGGGGGACAGGGGAAGAGAACACCGCAAGAAAACAAGTGTTCTAAGGGAATATAAACATATGTATGTAAACAAATATGTCTACCTTATCTCAGGGATGTTACAGAAAGAAGTACAGAAAGAAGTAAACGTTTAAACATAGCAAAGTATCAATTTTCATGGATGAAAACCAGAGATGCACAGATATCATATAATTGTAGGACAAAATGGAACATCTCAGAGATGTCGGTTTACAAATTCAAATTCTGTAAATGTATCCACTTTTAGCTAGATTTTTTTCCATTTATCTTGAACATAAAGAGAGTGATAAAATAAGTTGCAATATTCCAGACAGGGAATAAAATATAAGCAATCAACCACAAATATGATTTTTGTCACATACCGTTGACATGACAAAAATAAATAAATAAAAATGGTCCAAAACCCAGATTATGGGAATTCCTGCTAATTATGCTTGCATTGTTTAAACTGCAGCTTCCCATAAATGCCAACAGATATATAAAAAAAAACGATATCTGAATGTGGGCACAAAATTATGTATATACAATACTTTACAAGGCTATACAGGCTGCCAACGCAGGCTGCAAGTGTAGCCTACAGTGGGTTCAGAGCACTCCCTGACTGACTAGTAAAATACCATAAACCACAAAGGTTCCTGTAGAGTGTACAGAGAGGGGTTATGACATGTTCAATCTCTTTGAGCTATGCAGAATGAAAGGCTGACTGATGTTCCTATATATGTTTATATTGGGAATTAATGGTCAACCTTTTGGCAGCACTGTGCCGAAATAAGATTGTGATGGCCCGTAGCGTGCTGGTCCTATTTTTTTTTTTAAATTGAGGTGTGTATGTTGCCGTATTCTGCTTGTGTTATTTATACTGCAATTGCTTTGTATCATTGTATTTGTGCGTATATGAGCTATAATATTGTATATGTTCATGAGTAGCTTGTGGCATTGTGTCCCTGTGAATGTGAGCTGTGTATTGGTGCTGTCTGTGGAATTGTGTGTGTGGATGGATATGTCACATAGTGTGTTTGGTGGTGTGTGTATGTGTGGGGCTGTTTGGGGTATTGCATGTGAGAGACTGCATGTGGGGTTGTGTGCATGTATGTGGATTGTTAGTTGTTTTGTGTTTGTGCGGATTGTGTGTATGTTTGTGTGTGGGCTGTTCGTATTATTTGTATGAGTGGAGGGTTATTGTGCATTTGTCACGACCTGTTCTGTTCAGATGTCTGACCTTGGCTTCTGGTATCCAGTACTTTTTTTTTACAATTCTTGTTTAGTTTTTCTTGGTTTTTCAGGTTTTCTATTCCATGTCTGGTTTTCTTTATGCTGGGTTTTCTGGGTTCATTCCTTTATTCCATTCCTGGAATTCCCATTCTCCTTGATTCCTTTAAATGTTTGTTTGTTTTGTTTCCACGCCCATTCCTTTGCCATTAATCCATTTTGTTTCTGTCTGTTCCTGAAGGCAGTGGTTTCATTTCCTCTGCTCCTTTCTTTGCAGGTAAGTACTGTATGTGTTTTATTGTTTATTTAGTCATGCATATCTAGGCAGTTAGGACCCACCATAATTGGGGTACTTTGGCACAGTGGTGGGCTGTATACATCTTGGCCATTTATGTATGTGTAAATCTCCAATGTTTATTACATATATAGTAGTTAGTTATGTCCCCTCTTCTTTTGCCTTGTATCTCTTGTCTTGTTTTATTTTGTCTTGTATTCCCAGCTCATGTACAGTCCTGTCCTGTTCTGCCCATGTCCTGTTAATGTTTCCCTCATGTATTGTGTACATGTTCTGGGTTCTGCTTTCTGTCCTTCTCTGGTTCTGAGTTCTTCTAGTCTTATCTTATCTTGTTTGGTGCCTGTTCTAGTCTTGTCTTGTTTCTAGTACTGGATACAAATCAGCATAACATCTAGCTCCTGGCATCCACTTAAACTGCATCAGGGTTCCGGTATGTGGCTGCACAAACACCGGTGCTCAACACCAGGGGGCGTGTGGTTACCCTACACCAGACCCTGATTGTCCACTTCCACGCTGAGACTCCTATCATCTACATCAGGCGCACAGGGGTCCCGGTCTTCAGACCGCCATCTGTGACAGCATTTTTGTGTATATCTAGCAGTGTGGGTGGATTCCCTGGGGTCCAGTGGGGACCAGGCTGGCCAGGTACAGGTTAAGGACAGGAGCTGCAACAGCAGTTGCTCTACTACAGTGTGGATTCCCATTCATAAGTGCTGGGAGGAAGTGCTCTGAGATCACTTCCTCTATGTACTGCAATGCATAAATTGAGAATTTTCCTTCACCACCTCTTCATATTAGCAGATATCTGAAGTTTCACTGATATTTCAAGTTTTCCTGATAGGCCAGAGCCTGTTTGAATCTGGCAGCCTTGAGTGCCGTGCAAAGACACCTCGAGTGCCTGGCATGGCACACGTGGCATAGGTTGCCTACCCCTGGTCTAGAATTGTGTCATTGTATACAATGGACACTTTAAGAACAATAACCAATACAGCTTATTAAAGGTGGAAACGTGTAAATGTCTCGTCTACAATAATCCAAACACATTTTTAATTTGAAAGGAATTTCAGATTATTTTATAGTACAGTTTGCCTTTATCTGAGATGAATCAGGACAGTAGGAAAGTACCCGGCCCTCTTCTCTAATTATTCAAACTGTACATTCAATACACTGGCAGCTTTGCACACTCTTATCTTTGCTATCTGTGATATCTCCCCCTCTGTGTGGTGCAACAGTGTATATACGGCACACTTAGTTGGAGAAGACGTGGTGTAGATCCGTGCTACACAAAGACATGATTTGTTGATGCCAGCCTGTCAATGAGACCTCACTTGAGGTTTGCAACATGCAAACAAATCGATTATTCTTTAAAAGGCTATAGAAAAGTAACTAGCAAGTGCTGAAATCAGAGGTGTAGTGGGACTTGGTAGTTTAGTCTGTTTAGGTGGTGCACTCGTATCAATGTGACTCGACTTGTGTTGTCTTGGTTGTTGGGTCCATTACGAAATGTGCAACAACAAAATATGATAATATTAAAAGAAAAGATTGACAAGAGGAAAGGGGGCCTGAGATACAATGTTGGAGCTAGGACGAGAAATGCGGAGGCAGTGGAGCTGTGTAATGGGAGAGCTGGAACACATGAGGGAGACTGGATACATAGTTAAGAGGTCTGCGAGACATGGAGAGGACGCTGGGATACATAAAGAGGGGCTAGAGTGTATGAAGGGTAAAGTAATGAAATCAAGAGCAACTTTGAGACAGTCTTTAAACATAGATGAACAAGAACCGTCCACTGTTTCACTAAGTGATTACTTTACTTTTAGCACTTTGGCCCAGAATGGATCTTTACACAGTAGATAACTACCATTTTTTTATTTTTTTTAAATATAATTGCATGATAGTTCATGAACCAAAAGAAATGTAAATTGCTATCATTTATATATCTCTGGGCATTAATTACCTGTTCTTTCTTTGCCCCTTGGAGGGATGGTTCTCCATATTGTGAAAGATTCGGAAGACCACAACTCTCTAAAAGAAATTCTACTACTCTACTGGAGACCGCAAGGGACTATCTAGCCATACCAGTGACAGGATTCCAGCTATGCTACTAAACAGCAATGGTATTTGAGTTTGAGGCTCATGAGATACCATGGCTGACCATATGCAGCTTCTGACATCTAATGGACGACAAACCTAGAATCCAATATCCCTTCCATTGGCATGGGCTAAAATAGAGCCATTGAGAATTGTCATACTCACTATGCCCTCTCAACTTTGCTAATTATTTTAATTTGCTTTGCATACCAGTGATGTCAAGCTGACACACCCCTTCTATAGGTACACCCGTGCTTCTCTCTGGTTGTGTCTACTCATAGGGTGATGCCAGTGACACAAGTGGTATAAGTGGAATGGGGCTCACCCCCATATTAATTTCATATCGCCCAATGTTGGGGGTATGTAAAAGGTCACCTTGCTGGACAGCCCCAATCAGGGTAGCTGTTGAAGCACTCTGCTATGGGCCAAATTCTCTGAGTACTTGTGATCCTAAAGTGATCCAAAAGTGGGATAAAGGAAAATACAGCCAAGGTGGAGATATAGAGATCCAAACTGGTACTGTCACACTGGTCCCGGTACTGTTGGGAGCTAAGCAAAGTTCACATGAGGTGACAGAGTCAGTGAAGCACATTAAACTATTCCCAAATAGCATCTCATTTTTTTTTCCAAAGCAAGCTTTAGAACACAGTACTTTTATTTTAAGATCTATTGGCACGGAGATGAGAGAATGAATTTAATAAATATTCTAGGTGCCTGGTTTATATAAATAAAGGCTTCTTACCTACACATTTATTTCATGTTTATTTTGAAAACACGATTAACATTTCTTAAAATCCTTAAATCTATATTTAAAAAATTAGTTGAACCACACGTTACTTTGATGCGTGGATTTTTCTTCTCAGAAGCATCAAATATTGAACAACCAAAACTTTAATGTTGCATTCCATGTCTCTTAACTTTTTGGGCAACTATTCACTAAACAGATCTTGTAGAGAACTGGAAAGGAATCATATATTTCGAATTAAAAATAGCAATTGGCTTACAATGTGCAGTCCTATTGTCTATTACCCCCAATACCTGGTTTTGTCATTAAATGCTCTTTCAGTACGGAAAAAACTAGATTAGTTCTCACCTTGGTAAACATCAATTTGTACTTGTTTTATATACGTTATTGTTCTATGAAAATCCAAGGTAAATTCCTATCTGTGATTGATTAGGTGAGGTTTAAGGAATTTACTGGCTGTAAATGTTCTCTGAGGCCTTGTTTGACCTGTAATAATTATGTTCTCACAAAATGTACAAAAAGGGCAATCATTCATTTTAACTATAAATATCCAAGCTTTGCACAGGAATAATTATCTAATCCATTCACTTTTTACTCTTTTTGTTTTGTTTTTTTGCGCGGGGGACCTCATTAATTGTATTTGCAGCTGTGGACACAAAGAGAGTTATTTGATAGTTTCATGTCTTTGTTGCAATAGCAGCGGGAAGAGTTTCTTAAGGAGACATTACATGCAGTACCAATGTACCAGTTTCTGTCTCCCATCATCCAGTGTCTTCCAAATCAGTATAGCTGCAGTAATTAACACGCATGAAAAAAAACATAAATGAAGCTACTCTGTGTGTTCTGAGTAACCACACAAAGCAGTGTCTACTGGCTTTCAGTGTCCACACACTTTCATTAATGACATTTTCAAAATTTAACTAGTAAACACATGCAGAGACTGACGACCAAAACAACTGTCTAGCTGGTCAGTGCTTCATTCTCATCCTTCCCAACCCAGATATTGGCTTAAAAAAAAAAAAAAAAAAAGCTGTGTTCTAAAACAGCATTACATTGGTTGAAAGCCTACAGAAATATGGGGTGGGGAAATGGAAAAGTGACCAACTTGCACATAGCTAAATATTAGTTAAAAGTTCATAATGTTACATGCTATGGAGTGGGTACATTTGCAGATTCATTGTTTTTGTTGTAATCTTAAAGTACTTGGTTTATGTTATGTTACCTTGCAAGTGACAGAAATGAATCATGACAGTCTTACTAAATCTGAATTGGTAAATAATGTGTCTACATAGTAGATGATTTATCCAGCTGACTAATCTAACATATGCATAGGAATAAACAATTATTGCAGCAAAACCCACTTTCCCCAAAAAGATGAAAAAATAGGTCCCATTAGAACAAGGCACATCATGTTTATCAAACAGAACCCAACAATAAGTTCACTGTAGTCCCATCCCTCCCCATTGCAGCAGACACTCTTTGGATGCATGATGAGCAATTCAAGATATTTTTTAGCATCGTTTATTTTAATCCTTTTTTTAACCTTGAATTCAAAACCTTGAATTTGAAGAATGGGACACAAAATGATGAAAATGAACACAGTTTGAGTTAACAAGCAATACTGTATCCAAATTCACATGCTATATGTACACTACATGATTAAACTTAGTATAAAAATCACTATATATTTTATTTAACAACAGGCATAGGGCAAATATAACAGAAAGAGACACACCTTAACCTGTTTTAAATAGTAAAACATCAATATTGATAGATTTGAATGTAAACAATAACAATGTGTTAGCTCATGCAATCTAAAGAGATATCACACAGTGTGGCTACAATAGGTTTTTATCTTTAAGAATCAGCAACATTAACCAAGTTAGTTTTCTTTAGCATCCACACAGTGCTTTTACTATCCCCAGATTTATGTAAAACTCACAGTGCAGTCTGAATAACACACAGGAACAGCTACATTCTAACACACACCATGCTTAATGCAGTGCATCTATTGTCTCTATCTACAAAAGACTGAAAACCCCATTAAACGCAGAGAACTAAAAGGCAGTAAATATCATGATGAAATAAATATCGTTTTAAAACTGTATTTGCATTAAAAGCAAAAAAAATCCCACAAAAAATAATATATATATAAAAAATAAGCCATTTGTAAACAACCACCAGCTACAGTAAACGTTCTAATTGTTCTATAGAGTATACAATATGCCCTTTCTATTCTGTTTCCTGAGTACCATCAAGCTGATCCCAGCTCACAGACACTGCTAACAGTATACTCACCAGCAGCAGCAGCACACAGCTCCAAAGCCAGGGCATTGCAGGGCAGTATGAGAGCTCACACTAACAGTACACAACCTTCAACTGGACTGCATACAGGTCCTCCCCCGGCTCTTATATAGACCCCAGAGCAGGAAGTACTGTGTTCTAGCAATGCTTAACTCTTTAAGAGCCAGTGTGTCTAGATTCAGTAAATTCAGTAAAGATAGGGTAGCTTCCAGTTAGATATAAATGTAATTATTACACTTGTGTAGACACATTGTAAGCACATGGATAAATACAAACAGGGGTTTGGAAAAAAGACAGATTCCTAGATGTGCCAATCATCACAGCAGGTGTAGATCTGCAACAGTTCAGATTTGCTATTTTGGAAAAGAATTGATTAAAACTATACCTAAATGAGGGTCACTTACTCCTTCTCCTAGGTGGTCTTGTACAATGAATCAGTGTCGCCATGCACCCTACCATAAAAGCTAAAAGTATCCATTGAGGGTGTATTGTGCATCATCTGGGAAGTCCATGGCTATCAGCAATGCCAGAGGTATAATTTCTGTAATATTTTAACATTTATGGGATAAACATGGCTACCAGAAACCTGATAATTCTTGATCCTTTTTATTGTATTAGGGTTGGGATTGAGCTGCACTGAATCCCCTGGTTTAGTTATGATGCTGTAATACTTGCTGGGATGTATGTATTTGTATCATTATGTATTTAGTGTTTTTACTGAATGTTTTATTGCATGGCAACACAGTAGTAGTATTGCAACTGATACTATACAGCTCAGCGATTTGTTTTTGTAAACAGTTTTTTTTGTGTGTGTTGCAATTATTGTGGTGCATTAAGAACTGGATGGAAAATAAATAATGAATGGATAATATAAAGTCAATAACTTAAGTAATTTGAATTAATTACAGAGGTTACTGAGGCTTAACAGGGCCTCTGTGGAGATAACCTATTCTTCCACGTAGCTACCAATGAAGTTGGTCCTAATGACCAGTTTTTGTAATGATAGCTGATATGAAAATGAACTTCTGTCTATTTGCAAATTGCGTCCATCTGAATTGTATACATTCGGTTGTAATAAATTCGACAGCTGCCTATTATATTGTATTTTGATTATTTGGTTACTGGTTTTAGCTGTTAGGTGGGACAGGCTGAAATCCTGCCCTCATTGAAGGTAATTACATATCTGAACATTGGTAAATCTTGATTTAGCCTCAGATTATTTTAGCTAATTTGACCATTATCCAAGCACTCAACCATACTGACACACAGCCACAATGTAAATAAATGAATAAATAAATAAAGAAAGAATTGTGGTGCATATTATCAGATTTTATATTATCTGAAGCATTTCCGTTTTGCTCATCTTATTTGGAGGTTATAGTGAAGGAGTCTGAGGTCAAACCTCGATTACATTCTCTTGGCTGAAAGCGCTCCTCAGATTTATAATCACATCTGCTAGTGAGGTGGTGGGTTTAAAGCCACAACGTATTTGTAAATCTCAGCTGTTATAACTAACTATGCAGGGACAATTTCATTTGTGTGATCAATAACAGATTGCTATGCTTCTCGGGCTGTCCCTTTAATAATATAATCCGAAATCTCAATCCTAACATCTGCCCAGAGCCACATTAAGATTAAGGGGACACTGTAGGCAGTGGAGGCTCATTCATTGGATCAGCACCCACCAGTTTTTATGTGAAGAAAAACATGATTTGCAGTAGTTTAGAAACACTATGATTCTTTTTCTGGCAGGGAGGGCGGTTAGCCAAAAAAATCTAGCAGAAAGATGAGTGTCTCTTTACTTCTGCAATAGGTTTCAGTCCTGTGGGGTTCCTCCCCATTATTAGTAGTTACTTGGAGAAACTTACTTGAGAGAATCTAGGCAGGTCAAAAAATTGAGCTGGTTTGACATCTGCTCTGTTTCAGCAGGTTTTGCACATCCGTAGTGTTCTTTAAAAAAACATTCAGGAATTCCCATTGAGTTGCCATATGCGCAGCACAGCCAGCCACCCATTAGTGGAGGTATGCTATTGGTCTCTCTATTATAATCACAGTGCCTACAGGAGAGAGAAGTAAGAAGCCATCCACAGCCTGAACCCTGATTACACTCTTCCTTCTAGGCATGCTAGTTCATATCAGTAGTGGATGCCATTAATATCCTGAAAGTAATCAGCTGACACTCTCAGTCAATCACTGCTGGCCATTGCTGCTCCGGCTAATAATTTCTCATTAGCACAAGCAACACAGAGGGGATGGGCTACCAAGGGCTCTCATTCAGCATTAAAGGACCACTCTAGGCACCCAGACCACTTCAGCTTAATGAAGTGGTCTGGGTGCCAGGTCCAGCTAGGGTTAACCCATTTTTTAATAAACATAGCAGTTTCAGCCCCTAATCCTCTAGTGGCTGTCTCATTGACAGCCACTAGAGGCGCTTGCGTGCTTCTCACTGTGATTTTCACAGTGAGAGCACGCCAGCGTCCATAGGAAAGCATTGTAAATGCTTTCCTATGCGACCGGCTGAATGCGCGCGCAGCTCTTGCCGCGCGTGCGCATTCAGCCGGCAGGGAGGAACGGAGGAGGAGAGAAGGAGGAGAGCTCCCCGCCCAGCGCTGGAAAAAGGTAAGTTTTTACCCCTTTCCTCCTTCCAGAGCCGGGCGGGAGGGGGACCCTGAGGGTGGGGGCACCCTCAGGGCACTATAGTGCCAGGAAAACGAGTATGTTTTCCTGGCACTATAGTGGTCCTTTAAGCCATGATCAGCGTTTAAACACTGAATAAAAGGACAGCGCCAGGCGACTCCAGACACTATAACCACTTTAATGAGGTGAAGCAATTACAATGCCTACAGTATCTGTTTAGAGGAAATCAGCTCAATGCTTACAATATATATATATATATGTTTAAATTTTAATCTGGATATGTTTTACCTGTTAATTGATTCTAACTGTCAGTTTAGCAATTTCCACAGGCTGAGAACAGGAAATGCAGAATACCGGTTATTAAAGGTAAAGAACTTGAACAGAATACATACAATTAATGAGAATGACCTAATTATCTCTGACACTAGATTAAAGAAGTCCTATTTGTACAATACTCATTCAGGATATTCTGAGCCAACTCTACGCTTCTAGTAAGGGCACTTGTTTCTCGGAACTGCCAAAAACAGCGATGATACAGGGAATCCCTTTTATCCTTTAATGTTTCGGCTGTCTCCTCTAACCCATAATTAAATGTAGGCCGGTTAGCAAAGGGGAAATGGAAAATAAAACTCGAAAAAGAAGACTTTACATCATTTGTTAACATTAGTTTTTAAATAGTATCTTCCTGCATCACTCACACTTTGTCGTGAGAACAAAACACAATTTACTGTGACCACAAAAAAGAGAGAACTCTCATGACACAGTATATTACAGTACATTTAAAGACGCTAATGGAAAAGTAATCTCCATGGAAACTAGTAGAATGTCTATGAAAATTTAGCACTTTTCACTCACAATAGCTCCTGTTTTGCCTTTATAAATTTCCCCTACGTTTTACGTAAGTTTTACAGTTTTACAATTGGTAGGGTTATATAATTCTATTTGATATGAGATACATACTTTGGAGAATGGATGGGAAAATTGTACATAATACGTGATACTATTATGTAATATCAGTAAGAATACTCTGATTAGTTAGCTTGTAAGCCAACCAATCAGAGCGCTCTGAAAGCCATTCTTGTGAGAAATGAGTCTTGGCTGTCACTGTGCTCTGATTGGTGGGTTTATTATGTCTAGTCAGTGGCATACATAACACGTTCGCATGGGTCGCACCTACGACCGGGTCTGTCACTCCAGGGGGCCCGGCTGCCCTGCGGACACCTGTGTTCAGGTGCCTGCCGCCATGTGTTGCGGCCCTGGCCCGCGTGGTATAATCGCCAGGGCAGCACGATAAGGGGCCCATCAGGTGGCCCATGCTGTTAGAGCCACCTGATGACTGTGGATTTCCAGGGGGCCCGGTCAGCGCTGCGGTGCTTTAACAGCGTAACTGGGCCCCCTTTGATGACATCACAGCTGGTAGGAAGTGACTGCCCCGTCACTCCTTTCAGCTTACAATGGGAGCCGCGGAGGAGAAAGAGAAGAGGGAGTCAGAGTGGGAACTCTGACTACCATCAGGCTGAGCCACCACTGGACCCCAGGAAAGTCACCCTCCTGCATCTAAAAGGTAGGAAGCAGGAGGGTGATTAAAATATTTTGTATATGTGTGTGTTTGTTTGTATGCATGTGTGTGTGTGTTTGTATGAATGTTTCTGTGTATGTGTGTCTGTATCTGTGTGTGTGTGTGTGTGTATGTATGTGTGTGTGTGTGTCTGTGTGTGTGTGTGCATGTATGTTTGTGTGTATGTCTGTGTGTCTGTGTATGTGTGTGTTTTTCTATGTGTGTGTTTGTTTATATTTGTCTCTGTGTGTGTTTGCATGTATTTGTATGTATGTGTGTGTGTTTGTATGTATGTCTGTATATATGTGTCTCTGTGTGTGTGTGTGCACGTGTTTGTATGTATGTGTCTGTATGTATGTTCAGTGGCGTACATACCGCGGTCACAGGGCTGCGACTGGGCCCGTCACTCCAGAGGGCCCGGCCGCCTTGCGGACCCCTGCGACCAGGTGCCCGCTGCCATGTGTTGTGTAATCACCAGGGGAGGGGGAGGCATGGATGTTTTCACTCCATGGATCGTGTGTACGCCACTGTGTCTAGTAGATACATTTAGTTTAAAACCTCCCTCATAGTAATATGGAAGTCTTATTGACCTTCGTAGACTTTTTATTTATTTCGTTATTATTTTACGTGCTGAATGTTGCTGTTGGCTAGCAAGCACTGTTTTGCCAATACATAATTAACCCTGGTGCTGCTGAGGGTTATTTATCAATTTTCTGCTAGCGCTACCTGCCAGCAAATATTTACGATTTGAAGCATTTGGGTCACATTTCAGACGTCTGGCAGTGTTTGGTCCAGCTAAAATCCAGACCAAGTTTAAGTCCATGTGAAGCCTGAACTGCAGCCCATTTGAAGCCTGAGCAGCCCGTACAGCCCCATAGAGCAGAGAATGGTTTTGCCCCT